AGGTTTCTTCTTTTTTCTGGGCTTTAGTGTCCACATTTGTAAAGTGAGGGAATTGGATTAGGTGACTTCTGAAGTCTCTTTTAATTTTAAATCTCTGGTCCTATTACAAGAAAAGCTTTTCTTCTAGGGAGTTCAAGGGTGAACTGACTTTTATTTGGCCCAGAGAAAATTTGAAAGGTAAAATTGGGGCTGGGGATTAGGGCCTGGAGACAGGAAGATCTGAGTTCAAATTGACCTTTGGATACTTACTAGGTGTGTGACTCTGGACAAGTCATTTAACCTCTGTTTGCCTCAGTTTCCTCATCTGTAAAATGGGGATAATAATAGTACCTACATCCCAGGTTAGTTTTGAGGACCAAATGAGAGAATAGTTGTAAAGCACTTAGTACAGTCCTGGCACATAGCAAATCCCATATAAATGTTAGCTATTACTATTATTCTATAGTACTCTAATTTGCTTGATACATTCCCTTAAGTTACATAGGCCTAAGTCACTACCATGCTAGTCAATCTATTCCTAACTGAAAATGATAGAAATTTACTTCCTGGTGTGTTTTTCCTCTCCAGATGAGGTGGGCTAAAGTTTCTATTCTGGGGCTACTCTGGTAGAAACAGTTAAGCTCTAGGGTTTGTCTATTTTAGGGCCTGGGTTCTTGTTCCTTTTCTGTCTCTGTCTTTGTCTCTCTGTCTCTGTCCCCTGTCTTACTCTTCCTCATTCCTTTCTTTTCTCTGCCTTCCTATTTTTTTCTCTCCCCTTTTTTTTTCCTGTTTCAATTTTTGTCTGCTCATCACTGGACCTTTAGGGGTTATTCCCATGGATGATGGGAATAGTTTTGGGGTACTGGGGAGCTCTTGAAAAGGATAGAATCACTCAAAGATCATAGATTGATGGATAAAAGAGAATTTAGAGGTCATCTAATCTAACCCCTTCATCTAACAGATTAGAAAAATGAGAAGTGACAGATTTTGGGGCTTTTTTGTACAGTCTGTTGCTGGGACTAACAGAACTTCACAGAAGAATTAGGGGAGCCAGGTAATGCTGAAAGGGATAGGCTGAGTATGTCTCTGTGTGTGTGTGTGTGTGTGTGGTGTGTGTGTGTGTGTGTGTGTGTGTGTGTGAAGGTGTTATGAGGCCTGGTGGTCTTGAGATCACCATGACAATGTCCCCTTAAGGGAGGCTACAGCTTATAGAATCTATGCATGGAAAGCATTGTCATAAGATTAGTCCTGATGGTCTTGAGGCCATTCAGACAGTCTCCCCTTAACAGAAGCTGTAAGCTTATACAACATACTCATGTAAAAGTACTGACAATAATATTTTTCTAACGTTAGCATAGTTGTGTGCCCCAAAATAATATTTTGTGCATTTTTCTCCTTGATATGCAAATGCCCCTCCCAAATAATATTTTGCCCTGGCCCCGATATACAAATAGGCCAGCTCTAGGAGTGCCACCCAAAATTAGAGTATAAGAACTCCATTTTCAGCAGGGTAGCTTGGAGCACAGCCTCCCCTCTAGTGGGAACATAGCTTCCTAATGAAGCATGTCCTTCCTGTTGAATGGACTCATGTCTCTGTGCTCCCCAATGCAATGCCACTCTTATGTATGTTATACTGTTGTGTTAGCATGTGTGAATTGTAAATCAGTCCCTTTTGTCTCTCTTCCCTTTGCATTGGACTGAATCCATGGTTTTATTATTCTCAGCTTCCAAATTCTTTAAAGGGTTCTTTTCCCTAATATCTCTGGCTGGCCCATGGGCCTCTCCTTAGACATACCTAGACAAAGACTTAACTTATTTACAACCAAACCTACATTGGAGGAGTATGACACTGTGAACCTAGTTGTAGAAAGCAAGGGTTAATGGGAGTCCTATGTCTTCCTAGGAGCGACTTCCTCATGCTAGAGGATTGTCACAAAACAGAAGGTCATGTGACTTATCTTGTGGGGAAACATGCTAAGACTTCCTTCCCCCCTTTCCCCATAACCTGTTGCTTCTTTAGGCTACATATTACAAAATCATATTTGGATAGTACTTTACTCTGAAGTCCTTGGTTCTACTAGAATGAGGAATCCTTATCAACATTTCTTTCTCATTTCTGAAACTGTCTTGCACTGAAATTTATGCATCTATATTTTGTCTTATTGTGGACTTTTGTTTTGGGGGGGAGAATATTTTAAATTGTGAATGAAAATGGTCTGTGTCAGGGAGAGATGTTCAGAGGAAGGACAGATTTTTGTCTCTTTTGATTTCCTCTTTCTCCAAGCAGGGAAGGGAAGGAAATACACATTTAATAAGTACATACTCTGTGCCAGATACTGTGCTAATCACTTTCCAAATATTACATCAAATATTACATCTTCATAACAGCCTTGTGTGGTAGGTGCTATTTGATTCCCATTTCAGAGTTAAAGAAACTGAGGCTGAGGCTAGGTGACTTTACTAGAGACATACAACTATTAAGCTTCTCAGGTTCAATATGAAATCAAGTCTTCCTGACTGTGGGCCCTGCACTCTGTGCACTATGGCACTACCTAGTTGCCTCTGAGGAGAGATGCATAGACTTGGAATAGTTTTTAACTAATCAATAAATTGTCTCTGACCAACTTGTACACAGAGTGCAGTGTGCTAAATTTTTCTTCCACACTAGAGACCTACAAGGAAGAGTTAAAGAGATGGTGCAACAAGACAAGAGAATTAAGGCAGTGCTTTCCACATTGAGGCAGTAGCTGATACCTCTGAACAAATTCATTTCTTACATACCATCGGTCCCATCCCTATTAATTGGCAGCCAAAATCACTGCCAAGTGAGTCCTCCCTATGGACTGGGGTCCTGAAGGTCTCTCCCAAAGAAGCTCCTTGTTCCTTGCTCCTCATGTCATTGACTCTGTGGTGGCTGCAACACCTGGGCTGGATTCTGATGCCTGGATTGGTGAACCTCAAATTCTTAAGCCAGATTGGAGATTTTCCCCTCTGAACCTAGAATGGAAAAGAAGAAATAAACAGTCCAGGAACATTCCATTTGTCAGAGAGACAGAAAGCCTTCCCCCTTTTTACTTGGCATTCCATTTGTCAGAGAGACAGAAAGCCTTCCCCCTTTTTACTTGGTCTCACTATACCCCATAAAGGAAAGAGTCACCTTGCCCTCACCTTGCCCTCTCCTTCCGCCCATACAATGAGCACAGACAATGAGCACAGACAATGAGAGCTGACTAATGGTTTTGGCGGTTCACTTACTTCTCCCAAATATGTGGCAGGCAAACTGGAACCAGTTAAAGCATCTCCAACCATGCTTATATACATATATACACATACATACATACATATGTATATATAATGTACATATATGTGGATGTGTCTGTGCATACAGATATGCATAGACATACATATATTTGGTTCTGTTTATTTCACTCTGCATCAGTTGATATATTGAGATGTCCTTTTTTTTTTAGGTGAGGCAATGGGGTTAAGTGACTTGCCTAGGGTCATACAGCTAGTAAGTGTCAAGCGTTGAAATGCCTTTGTAATGCTTCTCTGAATTAATCATATTATTTATTTTTGTGCAAATAAAATTCATTTGGTTACCACAGTTAATTTAGCATTCCCATATTATGGGCACTTACTTTGTTTCCAGGTTCTTGCTTTCACAGAATGTCTTGCTATGAATATTTTGGTATAGTCAGGACCTTTCTTTCTGTTTTTAACCTCTTTGGAACATTTGCCTTGGAGTTTCCTGCTCAGTTCTAAGGTTAAGCTCATTCCCTCCTGTCTTCTCCAACATCTTGCTCCTTTCAATTATTTCCTCTACTCCAGACATCTTTAATCCCTTCCCTTTTACTTGTTCTTCTTTTGCTTTCAAGCACATCTGGCTTTAACTCATCTTAAAACAAAAACTTCAAGCTAAACTCTACTTGAACCTCTAGCTTCTCACCTAAAGGCAACTATGTGGTACAGTGGATAGAGCAGTGGGCTTGGAGAGAAGAGTAACTGAGTCCAAATTTTACTTCAGATCTCAAATTCGATCTTAAGAAAATCAATGAACCTTTGTCTGTCTCATTTTCTTCATTTGTAAAATGGGTATAATTATAATTCCTACCTCTCCAGGATTGTTGTGAGAATCAAATGAGACATTTGTAAAAACACTTAGCACGATATTTGATACATAATAGGCACTTAATAAGAGCTTATTCTCATCTTTTCTTTCTTTCCTGTTTACTGGTGAACTTCTCAAAGGAGTAGGGTAAATCCACTGACTGTACTTCCTCACAATCCATATTCCTTAACATCCTAAAATCTGGTCGTAATCTCCACTACCATATGGAAATTGTGACATCATTAACCTGTAGGGTTGGGGATAATGTCTCATTTTTGTATCTCCAACAGTGTTTATTATAGCACCTTACACACAGGGAATGTGAGTATTTGTTGAATGAATGGATTGAAAGGGGATGATGAAAATCTCCCTTGAAATGAGATGGTGTCGGGGTTGAAGTCAAGCCAGGAACATGGCAATCTTGGGTAGGGCCAGCCTGTACAACTAAGTTGGAAATCAGCTTAGTCACATGCTTTTGAAAAAATTATTTTTTTAGCTGTTTGATTTCGCTTTTTAAAAAACATTTTCTTGATGTACTTTGTCTTAACATGGTAGTCATTTTCCTCTCTTGTGATAAAGAAAAGCAATCAAATAAAAATATCTCCTAAGGAAACCTTGTCTGCCATGTAGACAAAATCCTGGCCTTGTAGTCCCCCTCCTCTCCACTGTCGGGGAGGAGGTATAGACATCCTCTTTTTCTGATGGATGAGGTGGCCTCTTCTCTGCATCTTAGAACACCACCTGCAGGATCCCTTGGCCCAGTCTCTTATTCAACTGTTCTGCCTTTCCTTTCACAATTCTTTTAATTTCTTTCATCACTCTTCTAACTCCCAGTATCAATAACCCTCCAAGACAGATATGTAGAACTACCTTCAAATCACCCACGTAATGGACAGATGCAGCCAAAATGTTCAATTATTACTGTCCTAGAAATTTATTTGCTTATTTATTAAAATACTGAAATGATTTCCTTCATTTACAGTGTCCGTTTATGTCCAAGGGAGGGTCAGTAACTGTGCAGCCCTGAGCTCCTAGGAACTCAGTCAGGAGAAAGGTGCTAGCTGGGCCTGACTATTTTGCTTGCAGTTCACAAAAACTTCTATCCTCTGAAGACAAAGATATACTGGAAGTCAGGAGTAAGGAACAGTCCTCATCCCAAGCTTGACATGAGTCCCCCTCGAGGTGGGGGTTGCCCTCAGGAATGGACTAAGGATGGTGATTACTAGGAGATGAGGAGGAAGACAGAGATGAATGGGTCACTGCCACACCAAGACCCCAGTCTTTTCACAGGCTGATGATGAGTCAGTCATCCTCAGGTTCCTAACGCCATCTGGTGAGAGGACGCCTTTTGTTCTTTGGTCCATTGATCTCTCTCTTAAGTGTGAAGTACAGACCAGTGTCTGCTGCAAACAGAACTCCCATCACAAGGTAGAAAAGGATGTACCAGATTTTAGAAGATGAGGAAGTAGATGAACTTGGATCTACATTTGTACAAAAGTAAGAGGTAGCAGGAAGAATCATTAGAATTCCGGTGAATCAACAAATCAAGTCAACAAATATCTAACAAACACTTACTTTCTAAAGGAGAAAAAAAAAAGTCATCTGTTCTTGGGTCTGGGGTTTTGAATGGATACTGTGAGATCCTCAGAGGGAAGACTGCTTGGATCCCTAAGGTGACCTTATGCTAAGGGTCTCAGTCAAGAGGTAATAGGAGGGTCTCTCCTAGCCCAGGGTGGGGAGGGAGGAGAGAGAGAGGGACAGGGAGATAGACAGATAAATAGATATAGAGAGAAAACAGTAAGAGTGAGATGCTATGCCTACACCATACTCATGCTACATGGAATTTTGAAAGATTTGACATCAGTTTTATGATTATTATTGGTATTATTTATTATTATTGATTATAATGATACTGTTAGTACTCTAAGTTCTGAATCAAGTTCCTTGATCTTCTATCTAACCCCATCTGATATTTTCTTCACCCTATATAATGGAAAGAGCTCTTGCCTGGGCCTGCAGACTCAAAAGATGAGCTCTGATTGGTCTTTCTAGGGATTCAGGATTTCATCAGAGGTGCCAGACATGTAGTCATTTACCCCTGGGAAGGAGGGGATAAGTTGCAAGGATTCCTACTAAAGTTGTTGTGCTGGTCCAAATGATTGGGAACATGGTTGAATCAGGGAGCATTGGACCTCAGGATTCTAAAAGACAGAGTAGATTGCATGGGAAGGAGAAGTTATTCCTTTCAGTGGAGGAATCCAGAGTTGGGCAGTGAGGGGAGAGGTACAACTTCTGTTTTTTTGTAGTTACATCTGAATGAATGATGATGCCCCACCTCCCGAGAACTCCTTTGTGAAACTTGAGCACAAATAAAATAGACATCCAGGGCAGGTAGATACTTTCAGCCTTTGTGATTTGGTACCCTAAAACTATCATTAGCCCTCTCCAGATCCATCTTCCAAAATCCCCTTCCCTCAAAGTCTCAAACCCTTCACTCTTCCCTGGTTGGGTGATCTCACCTTGGACAGTAATTCTCACCACTCTTGATGTTTCCCTCCTATTTCTTATGGTTGCTGAACAGAAGTAATCTCCATTGTCATTACTGTCCACTTTACTGATGGAAAAGTTGGAATCATGTTGAAAAAACTTCCTTCCTATACCATTTTGATAGAATGTGACTTTAGAGATGCCTTTGTTTTCCCAGCTGTGGCACCTCAGCACCATGGATTCCCCTTTCATATAAACCAGTTTCAAGGTCTGGAGTACAAGCCAGTCTGAAAAGAAAAACAAAGATCAAGAATCTAGCAAGTCTCAACTCAATGTAGAATCTCAAGTCATTCTAGAATGGGATGGGCAAAGAAAGGCTCATTTCCTCTGGTAAGCTCCCGGGACAAAGAAGAATGTCAGGTGGTGAGATGCCATCAGTCAGTAGCATTGACTGGGTGCTGTAGAAGGTTATCAAGACAGCCTTTTTGCCCCTGGAGACATCCCAATTTAATAGGGTAATAGTATAGATACCCATGTAAAAAGGTTATAAGATATAAAAAAATATACAGAAATAGAAATAAATGCATGATGCAATCTATCTCCTGACAGAGGGGAGATAGACTCAAGATATAGAATGAAACATACATTTTCAAACATGGCAAATATGTGGATTTATTTTGCTTGACTACATTTTTGTTACAAGGATTATGTTGTTCTTTTTTCTTTTTTCATGGTGGGATTCAGGGAGAAAAGAGATATATCAGTAGTGTTGCTAAAAAAAAAGAAGAAAAGAAAAATAGTTATTGGACCATTTTTAATGCACAGAAGAGAACAGAATGAAGTTCAGAATGAAACACAAAGAAATAGTATAGCTCTTAAAATAATACATTGAATTTCTTACATACTTTTTAAGAAAAGCAAACTGTACATAAGAGAGATATATGCTTTCACATTTAATCTTTTTTCTGTTCTATTTTGTATATGAAAATGTTTATTTTGGGGCTATTCACTAGGTTCAGAATTTTAAAAAATAAAAGACAGAAATGCATTCATGCAAATAAAACATAAAATCCATCTGTACATTCTGGGGAACAAAACCCAGGATCTTTGATGTCGAATTAAAATTTAAAATTCAATTTCACAATCATTTACCATGTGCAAGACACTGGGGATACAAATACATAAATGAAACAATCCCTGCCCTTGAGGAGCTTACATTCTGCTGGGAGAAAACAACCTGTATATAGATAAGAAAATACAAAATATATACAAAGTAATTGGGGTGAGGGGAGCAGCAACAATTAGGGCAATCAGAAAAGTCCTCTTATAGGAGGTGGCATCTAAGGCCAATCTTGCAGAAAGGGAAGATTCCAAGAGGCAAAGGTAAGAGGAAGAATATTTCAGGCATGGGGGACAACTGGTCCAAAAACATGGAGGTGAGAGCTGGCTGTCATGTATAGCAAATGGCAAATAAGCCACTCTGGTAGAATATAGAGTCCATGAGAGGAGTAAACATTAAACATAAAAAGGTCTAGAAAGATAGATTGGAGTCAGATACAAAGGGCTTTAAATGCCAAGCAGGGAAGTTTCTATTTTATCCTTATTTCTATAGGTTAACAGGGAACCACTGTGGACTGACTTGATCAGTTTGGTCTCTATGTGGAAGGTAAATTGGAGAGAGGAGAGACTGGAGGCATGGATACCAAATTAGGAGGCTATTGCAATAGTATAATAGGTGAAGAGTTAGGAGCCCCTGAACTAGGATGGTGCAGTCATGTGAGTGGAAAAGGGACCAATGTGGAGTTAGAATCAGTATGACTAGAGAACTGGTTGGATTTAGAAGGTGAGGGAGGAGAGCAAAGAGTCTACAATGACTTCTACATTGCAATTCCAAGTAAGGCCCTTGACAGAGTAGGGAAATTAGGAGGAGGGGTGAGTTTAGTGGGCAAAATGAGTGAGTTCAGTAGAGTTTGTAGAGTTCTACATCACACAGAGATGTCTAACAGGCAGTTGGAGATGTGGAACCTAGACGTTTGGAGAGAGTTGAGGGTACAATATGGAGATTTAGGAGACATCTGCATTGGAACTGGTGAGATCATGGAGATAGAGAATTCTGAGAGAGGTACTCAAACATCAGGGACTCAGCATGGATACTGAGAAAGATCAGTTAGCAAGGAGGAAGATAACCAAGAAAGAAGAGTGTTAAAAAAAACCCAGAGGGGAGAAAGTAGCCTGAATGATTGGGTGGACACTAGTGTGCAGTGCTGCAGAAAGGTCAAGAAGGATGAGGGCTTAGAAAAAGCCATTGGATTTAGCAACAAAGAGATCGTAGGTCTAAAAGGAACCTGAGAAACCATCTAATCCAACCGTCCTATTTTGCAAATGAGAAAATGGGGGCCCAGAGAGGGTTAACTCACTTGCCCAAGGCAATAGAGATTGTCAACTTTCATGGAAGGATGAGCTCAGCTTTTCTGACTCTGAAGACAGGGTTCATCACATGGTACCATGCTAACTCATTACATGGTACCATGTTAGATCATCGTAACTTTGGAAAGAACAGTTTCAGTCAAATGATGTGGCAGAAGTGAAACTGCAAATGTTTGCAAAGTAAAATGTAGCATAAGAAAAAACAAAAAAATTTGTTACTGTTTTTAATTTTGCCTTGTTTTCTGCCTGTATCCCTCCCACCATATCTGCAAAGCATCCTTCATAATACAGAATTTTCATTTTAAAAAAAGAAAAAAAGGAGAGAAAAATTCAGTAAAAGCAACCAATACATCAAAAACATCTCATCATATTCAATGTTGCACAACCATGGATCTCCCCATCTCTGCAAAGAAGTGAAGGGAGATGGTGAACATTTTTTTCCTAGGATTTTGGCTTTGAAAGAGAAGAGAGACATCAAATAGCTTGTTAGAGATGGTAGAGTTGATGGAATTTTTAAGGTTAGGGAGACTTCAGAGGGGAGGAAGCCAATGGGTAAGGAAATATTAAAAAATTAGGGAGAGAAGGATGGAGGGAAGGAGAGAGAGAGAGAGAGAGAGAGAGAGAGAGAGAGAGAGAGAGAGAGAGAGAGAGAGAGAGAGATGGTCAAAGAGACAAACTCCCATAAGAGACAGCAGGTGATAGGATCAAGGACACAGAGTGGTTGGTCTTTGGACCACCTCCAGTGTTTTCTCCATTGAACTGCATTGTCACCTACATAGAGATTTTAATTGAAGTTGAGAACTGGTCAACAGTGCCAAACATTGCAGAGAAATTAAGAAGGAAGAGGACCCAGAAAAGGTGACTGGATTTAACTCATGAGAGTTACTGGAGAGCTTGAAGAAAGCAATTTCACTGTATTATTATGGGCAGAAGTCAGATCGGAGAGGGGTTGAGGTATGAGTGTGCTATGTACCGAGGAAAAGAAGATACAGGAAGTGTAGATCACTTTTCTGAGAAGTTTGTTGGTAAAAGGAAAGTGATAGAATTGTAGCTTAAGAGAGTAGCAGACTCTAGGGAACAATATTTTAAGGCAGGCAGGACTAGCTTGTTTGTAGGCTGGGGAGAAAGATCTGATAGAAAGAGACATTAAAGATACAAGAGAAATGCTGAGTGAGCAATATCTCAAGAGGAAGGGATTAAGAGCACAGGTGATGGGGTTAATTCTGGAAAGCAGGTGTTAGATAATTTTCTCGGAGTCAGGTAAGAAGGATGATTTGAATGATGAGGGAGATAGGAGGGAAGCTCAGGTATCTCCCTTCTGATGGACTGGATGGATCTGCTTTTCTTGTAAAGTCAGTAAGGCAGGGTCGATCAATCGACAGGTATTTATTGAATGCCTGCAATGGGTCAGGCACTGGGGATACACAGATAAAAATGAGAAACCCACTTTTAAAGGGCTTGCTGTCTATAGAGGAGAAATTTTGCACATGTAAATAAGAATGCAAAGTATGCTACTCCTTTTGGATTTGGACAGTTTTATTTGTGGAAAAGAAGAGAAACCTGGATAGTTCTGAGAAGACCTGAGAGAAATCAGACTCAGAGAAATGTACTTACTGAAGACAAAAATGGCCACAGTATGTTGTTTTCCAATGCTTTGTTTACATATGACCACTCTGAGGTTAAATAGGAAACCTGGACAACTTAATTTTTTTGTGACTAAGGTGGGGGATGGGGTGCTCATACCCATATTATATAATAAATAAAATGATTATTTTATTTATTACACTTTATTATATATAAATAAAATTACTTTTTTGAAAAACAGATGAGAATACTGGGAGCTGGGATGAGGATGGGGAAATCAGGAAAGTTCATCTGTACAATTTTTTTTCAACTCTATTCATCAGCTTGTAAATAGGAGTGGAGTACATGTGTGATGAGAGTAATTCATGGTTGAAGGTTGGCAGTGAATGAGCTGGTTAATGGCAGGGCCCTGCACTCACCTGGGAAGACTTCTAGCCCCACAGGCTCACTGAGAGCAGACTGGCCTCTCTGGCATTGGTACTTTCCACTGTACGAGATATTCTTGGTTATGATGTTGTAGTCTTGGATTTGGACTGGAATAATTGTGTCATTGTGGAGCCAAAGGATGGAGTTGCCTTCAGGGGTGCCAGACCCTTCACACCTTAGAGTTACAAGGTCATTCTTGAGCACATGGAACCATGGTGGGTACAGGGTCACTATTGACTTGGAGAGATTTGCTGGTGGTGGAGAGAAGAGAAGGAAAGGGTCCTTAGTCAGCTCTGGAATGCAAGTGAGCTCCCACTTATAACCCATAGCCAGACTGGGACAAATGTGGGAAAAGGGGCTTTAGGTACCATTTTTCTGGGTTGATTCCAATGGGAATCTGGCCAGAAAAACAGAAAGTGAAACCCTATTGAGAACAGAAATTGCTGAACCTGTTCTTTATTTAATAGAAAATTTCCAACATTTGTAGTTTCTAGGATCTGAGAGTTCGGTTATTTTGAGAAACAAAGGAGCAAACTCACCTGCTTTCCTGCCAGCCAGAACTACAAGAGAAAAGAGGGGAGAAATCAGCAAAGGGCAAGGGAAGCACAGAGCACTTGTAGCATGTTTCTCTCCATTTTAAGAATTCTGTTTACAGAGAAATGAAAGGACCTGCCTCCCTTTAGTATCTTTTCCATTGTCCTCAATGACTCTGTCCACCTTGCTGATAATAATAACATTGATACAGTGCTTACTATGTTTCAGGCACTGTGCTGAGTGCTAGATAGTTACAAACTCATTAGATGCTCACAACAATTCTGCAAGTCATTATCCCCATTATATAGATGAGGAAACTAAGGCAAATAGAGGCTAAGTGACTTGCCCAGGGTCACTCAGCTAATAAATTTTTGAGGCTGGATTGAACTCAGGTCTGCCCAGCCCTATTTCCACTGCACCACCTATCTGCCTGGATGATGCTTATCTGCTGTGATCCTGGAAGCAGAAGAAACAACAACAACAACAACAACAACAATAACAACAACCACCACAACCACAACCACAACACTGAATTTCAATCCAGAAGATTAGAAATTTATAGGAAAAAATCATATAATTTTAGAACTCTATGCAATATTAATTATTTTTCTACTCCATCTACCTTATTTTACAGAGACCTAGTGGATAGAGTCTGGGACTTGGATTTAGGAAATCAGATTCAAATCCTACCAAGACAAGCTGTGTGACTCTAGACATTTCATTTAACCTCTCTGAGGTTCATTTTCTTCATTTTTAAAAACACGATAATGAAAGCACCAAACTCACAGGGTTATTGTGAGCATCATATGAGGCAATGTATATATAACACTTGGCAAACCTTGAAGTCTCGTATAAATAGGAGCCATTATGACCCAAGGACATAGAGTCCACCCTCCCTTACCCAGCTATGTCCAGCCAAAGATAATGTCCTTCTTCCCATCCTCCCCCTCCTCCAAAGAGACCAGTGTTCTTATCTGGACTTGGAAAATGTCTCTGGAAGTCCCAGAGACCAAGGATACCCTGCACCTCTCCTACTCAGGGTAACCTTGACTCACCCAGAAGCAGCAAAAATGGCAGTAGTGAAGGCTGCATTCTGCTGGGATGAAATAGACCAGACCAACTGAATTGTCCACTGCTTCCCTGGGACAGGATATGACCTAACTGAGGCTTTTAGAATGAATTAGAAAAGAGGAAGGAAACCAACATTTCCCCCCTCCCCCACTCCATCTATCATCAGGTTGTTTTCCTGGAACCAATCTTGGTTTTTATGAAAGAAAGCTCAGTAGGTGAAACCTCTACACTTGACTTCTGGGAAGTAAGACTTCAATAGAAGAGCTGCTATGATATACCTCAGAGTCAGCAGAGTCTGGCCCTCAGCCTGGGGAGGTACTTTGGGGAACACTTGATTCATCCCATATGTAAGAAGGGGGTGGATGGGATTTTGGCTGGGACTTGAAGGAAGCCAGGGAGGTCAGGAGGTAGAAATAAGGAGGGAGAGAATTCCAGACATAGGGGACAAACAGTGAAAATTCCCAAAGTCAGAAAATGGAATGTCCTGTGCAAGGAACAGAAGACAGGAAAGGGGGGAGGTGGGCAAGTTATGAAGTGCTTTGAAAAACAAATAAAAAATTTTATATGGTGAGACCTCATGTGCTGCAAGCGCTATCCCCCTGTGTTGTATGACTCAAAGCTGATTCTTGAAAAGACTAATAAGACTGATAATGAACTAATCTGATTTAAAAAAGAGAGCAAAAAATTAAATCAACAAAATAAGTGAGCAAGGTGAAATCACAACAAAATCAGAAGAAATAAATAAGAATCATCACAGCATGTTACACAATTATATGCTAACAAAACAGAACAGAAAAAAGAGGAATACCTTCAAAACTATAAAATACCCAACTATCAGAAGCCCAAATAGAGATATTAAGTAGCCCAATCTTAGAAAAGGAAATTAATCTTGTTGTAAAGGTGGTATCAAAGAAAAAAATCTCCTGGTCCTGATGGATGCCCAGGAGAATTCTATCAAACTTTTAAAGAACCTAAGTGCCCCAAACTCCATCTATTATTCTCAAAAACTGAGAAAGAAAACACCCTGCCAGAATTCTTTTATAAGACAAATATGGTTGTAATACCTAAATGAGGGAAAGATAAACTACAGAAAGAAAACTATATGCCAATATAATCATATAATCATACAGTGATTTGTCCAAGAAATTATTCACTCTAAACAAATGAGATTGGTGCATAATTCATATTTTGGAGAGGTTTGAGAGGTCATGGGGAGCAGAGAAAATGTCAAAACCTCCACTTTGTTAACTCAGCTTTTCTTATGGTTTTTTTTTTTTTTGGTTAGGCAATAGGCTTAAGTAATGGGCTTAAGTGACTTGCCCAGGGTAGCATAGCTAGTAAGTGTCAAGTGTCTGAGGCCAAATTTGAACTCAGGTCCTCATGACTCCAGGGTCAGTTCTCTATCCACTGTGCCACCTAGTTACCCCTTAACTCAGCTTTTCAATACAGAACAGAACTTAATATTTCAAATATAGCCTAACCAGGCAGTGGAATGATTACCTTTCTCATTATGGACATTTTTACTTTTAAAATGCAACCTAAGATTATAGGACACCATTCCTGGGATCACAGCCTAATATTTCCTTATCTGTAAAATGAGGGGCTTAGACTAGAGACCTTCTAAGTTCCCTTTGAAGTATAGACCTAGGACTCTGTATCACAGGATTTAATCATACCAGACTTGCTGTCCACTAAAAACCACACTTCTAAGCACATTTTCTCATTCTCTACATGTGAAGTTTTTTTTGAATTAGTTTATTTTGATTTATCAACAATCACTTCCATAAGCTCTTGAGTTTTAATTTTTTCTCCCTCTCCCTCTCCTCCCTCCCTCCCCAAGATGACGTGCAATCTGAGATAGGCTATACGTACACATTTCTATTAAACATATTTTCATATTAGGGATGTAGTAAGGAAGAATTAAAACCACCAGAAAGAGGAAACAAAACAAAACAGAAGAAAAAATAGGAAATCGTATGCTTCAATCTGCATTCAAACTCCATAGTCTTTCTTTGGATGTGGATAGCATTTTCCATTGTGAGACCTTTGGAGATGTCTTAGATCCTTGCATTGCTGATGAAGTTGGGCTTTTAAACCTAAATGAAGGACTTTTTAACTCTATTAAATTTCATCTTATTAAATGGAGGCATTCATATTAGCTACTTTTTTTTTTTTAAGGCAATCAGGCTAAGAAACTTGCCCAGGATCACACAGCTAGTGAGTATCTGACACCATGTTTGAATTCAGGTCCTCCTGATTCCAGAGACAGTGCTCTATCCACTGTGTCACCTAGCTGCCCCCATGTTAACTACCTTTTAATTCACTCTTCCTTTTCTGCTCTTCTCATGATACCTGGTATAGTATGCTCTATCTCTATATTCTGCAAGCTGCTCTCTTCAGTCCAGGCCACCCGCAAACCTTCCTTCCTCTGTAGCCCCACAAGTGACCTCAGTACAATAATGAAAACAACCCCTTCTGTGCCACAAATAAAAGAAGTCCTAAAAATTAAAGTTAAATTAGTACAACTGAGTATAAGAAAACCATTGAATTAATAAATAAAATTAGGAGTTGGCATTATGAAAAAAATTAGTAAGTAGGTAAACCGTTAATATGATTAAAAAAAGAGAAAAAACAAATTACTCGTATGAAAAATGAAAATGGTGAATACATCACTAAAGAAGAGAAAATTAAAGCAGTTATAAAGAGTTATTTTACCCAATCATATATCAATAAATTTAACAACTTAAGCAAAATAAATGAATATTCACAAAAATACAAACTGCCTAGATTAGCAGAAGAGGAACTAGAATACCTAAACAGACCTATTTTAGAGAAAGAAATTAAACAGGCCATAAATAAGCTTCCTAAGAAAAAGCACTAGGACCAGACAGATTTGCAAGTGAATTTTATCAAACATTTAAAGACCAACTAATTCCAATATTAAATAAGTTATCCAGAATAATAGGCAAAGAAAGGGTCTTACAAACTCCTTTGATGAAACAAATATGATGCTGAAACCTAAAACAGAAAAAGTAAAAACGGAGAAAGAAAATTATAGACCAATTTCATTAATGAATATGGATACAAAAATCATAACAATACTAGCTAAAAGATTACAATAATATATTGCAAAGATTGTACATTACAACTAAATGGGAATTCATACCAGGAATGGAGGGATGGTTTAACATAAGGAAAACTATTAACATAGTTGATTGTGTGAATGATAAAAGTAATAAAAATCATATCATAATATCAATAGATGCAGAAAAAAACATTTCATAAAGTACAACACTCATTTCTATTAAAAACACTTGAAAGTATAGACATAAATGAACTTTTCCTTAAATTGATAAGAAGCATTTACCTAAAATCATTAACGAGCATTATTTGTAAAGAGGATAATCTAGAAGCCATCCCAGTAAGATCAGGTGTGAAACAAGGATGCCCACTGTCACTAACATTATTCAATAGTGTATTGGAAATTGTAGCAACAAGAAAAGAAAAAGAAATAGAAGGAATCAGAATAGGGAATGAGGTATAAAATTATCTCTTTTTGCAGATGATATGATGACATACTCAGAAATTTCCAAAGACTCAACTAAAAAGTTAATTGAAATAATTAATAATTTCAGCAACATAGCAGGATATAAAGTAAACCCACATAAATTATCATCATTTCTCTAAATTACCAATAGGATCCTGTAGAAGAGATAGCTAGAGACACCTCATTTAAAATAACTCTAAAATATCTGGGAATACACCTACCAAAACAAACCCAGGATCTGTATGAACAAAACCATAAAAAACTTTGTACACAAATAAAATCAGATTTAAATAAATGGAGAAATAGTAATTATTCATGGGTAGGCAAGGTCAATATAATAAAAATGACAATTTTACCAAAATTTATATATTCATTGCCATCCCAATTAAATTACCAAAAATATTTTACAAAGAGACACAAAATAACAAAATTTATTTGGAAGAACAAAAGGTCAAGAATATCAAAAGAACTAATGGAAAAAATGTAAAGAAGGAAGTTTAGTAGTACTAGATCTCAAACTATATTATAAGGCAGTAATTATCAAAAGTATCTGATACTACCTAAGAAATAGAAAGGTAGATCAGTGGAACAGAGTAGACATACAATCTACAGCAGCAAATGAATATAGTTACCCAGTGTTTGACAAGTGTAAAGATTTCAGTTTTGGGGGATAAGAATTCATTATTTGGTGAAAACCTGTTGGGAAAGCTGGAAAGCAGTCTGGCAGATATTGAGCAGAGACCAATATCTTACACCATTTACCAAGATAAGGTCAAAATGGAGATGTTACAAGAAAATTTGAAGAACGTGGAATATATTACCTATCAGACTTATAGAGAGGTGAACAATTTATGAACAAACAAGAGGATAGAGAGTGTTGTGAGATGTAAAATTAATTTTGATTACATGAAATTAAAAAATCTTTCTAAAAATAAAACATATGTAGCCAAGATCAGAAGGAAAGCAGAAAACTGGGGGGAAATTTTATAGACAGTTCCTCAGATAAAGGTCTCATATCTCAAATATATAAAGAACTTTGTCAAATCTATAAGAATGCAAGTCATTCCCCAATTGATAAATGGTCAAAGGATATGAACAGGCAGTTTTCCAATGAAGAAATCAAAATAATTTATTGTCATATAAAAATGGTCTAAATCATTATTGATGAGAGAAATGTGAATAAAAACAACTTTGAGATATCATTTTATACCTACCAGATTGGCTAAAATGATAGAAGGGGAAAGTGACAAATGTTGGAGGGGATGTGGAAAAATCGGGACCTTAATTCATTCTTGGTGGATCTGTGAGCTGATTCAACCATTTTAGAGACTGATTTGGAATTATGCCCAAAGAGTTCTTAAACTTTCTATATCTTTTGACCCAGCAATAACACTATTAGGTCTGCTTCCCAAGATTACTAGGGAAAATGGAACCAAACCTACATGTTTGAAAATATTTACGGGAGCTTTCTTTGTGGTGGCAGAGAACTGGAAATTGCAGGGATACCTGTCAATCCGAGAATGGCTAAACAAATTGTGGTATATGTTCAT